CAAACAGTATCATAATCAGACACAAATTCAATAGAACTAGGTCAAAATATGAACAAAAAAAGTGTTACACGACACTCCTGAAAAAGTACAAGGAGAATAAGACCATGTGTTCCTGAAGAGTAAGTGTCTCCTTTTTTTTGCATAATTTATAGCCTATTTCTTTTTCCTCCTTTATTCGTTTAAATGTATCAAATGGTGTTAATGGTGATTTTTTAATATTATTTTTATTTTGTTATCATATTATAAAAGTCGTAGGGATAGAATTACCCCACTTTTGGGAACAAAATACTTTTTCTTCTAAAAACAAACATAAAATCTGTTCGTTTAGTGTCTTAAGATTTGAAGTGAATGAGATTATAAAAAGGCAAAAATATACAATATCGTCATTCTAGAATGCAAGCTCATAAGAGAAAGGATGTTATGAGTATCGGAGGCATAAATAAATGGGAAAGTGTATGATGAATATTGGAGGCTTATATAAACGGGAAAGCGTATAATTAATAACGGAAGCTTATATAAATGAGAAAGCATATTATGAATGTCAGAGGCTTATATTAATTGGAAAGCGTATTATGAATATTAGAGGCAGATATAAATATGAAAGCGTATTATGATTGTAAAAGGTTATATAAATGGGAAAGCCTATTATGAATTTCGGAGGCTTATATAAATGAGAAAGCATATTTTGAATATGTTTGAATGGCTTTCCAAAATGAATAACAAAGTTTCACAATACATTTTTGTTTATTTTACGATTTTGTTTTCAAAAGATTTTTTTAATGTGTATTATAATGAAATATTTATCATGTGAAAAGAAAAAATAAACTTTCAGAATTAAAACAAGTCAGAAAATGAACAAACACGAAGCTAAGAATATGTATAACACATGGAAGTAACAATTTGGAAAAGTTGGAAACCAAGTACTAGCAAAGAGATACTTACCTTCTGGTTAGAATCGGTGGTATGGTGTTTGGCCAGCTAATGTAACGCCCGAGTGGCGAAGGTGGCGCCTATTGTACGACCTACATAGAACTAAGCAACTAGAGGTTAATGGGATACGCATTAAAGCCATTCATTAGCAAGGCTAATTTATATAGATATATAGCACCACCACAGACGAATAAGGTGTGTAGTTAATTATTCATTATCATCATTAGTATTTACAACAGTTTCATAATTAGATTAACGAAAAAATGATGAACGATTCAGATTATTTTAATGTCGTTTAGCTTTCTTGAATGTAGGAAATGTTGCTTTAATTGTTTTTTAAATTGTTCATAATGCTGTGACATGTATTTGAGCCGTTTCCTGAGAAGTCAACATGATAATGAGTAAAAGAATATGCCCTTAACGTTGATTAATATTGTGTTTTTTGTTTTGTTTTTGTTTTGTTTTGGTTGTTTTGGGGGTTTTTTTAATTAGTATTTTAGTTAGTTTTTTTTCTTTATTTTGCTCATTTTTGCTTTATTTGTTTTTGTTTGTTTGTTGTTTCTTTTTTTTTAATTTATTCTTTTTTTTATTTTATTTTGTTTATTTATTTTTTATTTATTTTTCTTTAAATTCTTATTTTTTTATTTATTTTTTTTTTAATTATTATTATTTCTTTTATTTTTGCCTCTGCTTTAAGACTACTTGTTATTTTATCCACATTTTACAGAACATACATTGAAACATACACAACTTTAACCAAGGTTTACATGGCGGTGTCCTCGATGAAGAAAAAGACACTTACTCTTCAGTACACCTGGTCTTAAAGTCCTTGCCCTTTTTCATGTGTCTCCGTGTAAATCTTTCTTCTGTTCATAGTTTGCCCTTGCCAAAGAATCGCCACTTTTGTCTTCCTTCACCCTCGCCAAAACACCGCTTATTTTATATGTCTTCATATCTTTATTGGAAAAAAGCTTCATTTGATATCATGATTAATGCTCTGGCAGCCCCAAAGATTTTCCTTCTTATGATAAAGGAAATCTGTAGACTGTACCTACCATGTTAATGAATAATATAGGTAAAATTATCTTTGCCACGATATAATAAACATAGTGAAACTTCTTTCAAAACAATATATTTGAAAACATCTGATTGATAGATGACTATCCGACAGATTTTACAGTCCATGAATGTATCTCTAACAGTAATTTCCCTTTGATTGTCTGCAAATATGATATTTCTATACGTGTGTATGTGTACGGACAAACCTCGTAAGAATGTACAGTGTTGTATAATCCAAATTATCACTACAAAAAAGATGTCATGCAGGAAGGAAATTCAAGCCCTGTTGTTTTTCCTCTGTACGTTAAAGAAATATTCTTATCTTTATGAAATATGCCATGTTCATGTTGACTGTGATAACCTAGTAAGTAATGACAAACTTATGGGGCGTTTTAATTTCTAACCAGGTTAGTGGTGACTGATAACCTGGTTAGTAATGACTAACTTGTGGAACGTTCTCATTTGCTTTCAGTTAGCATTAACTTGTGGGGGAAATTTGTTTCCGCTATTGTATCATTTTATCCCTAATGGATAGCTTACCTCCTTGATCAACCTGGATGCAAACTTGTGCAGACTTGGGGCAGTATGTGGTTCCCACCTTCGTCGCAATGAAGAACAGTTTATTCTCATTTTTCGATATGAAATTCAGCCAGTTCGTCCAATGCATATAAATATTATAAGTTGTTTCCCTAATGTTAACCATTCGAAGGCGATATAAATTAACTTCAATGCCAAGGTCTTCATGGAAAACTTTGTTAGCGAAGCAACAGAAGACCTGTATTCTTCTTGATCTTTTTCGAAGGTATCCGTGCAAATGTTGTTTTGTTTTTTTTATTATTTTAATCCGATTTTCTGTCGTCTCTGCAAAATGTGCCAATTAAGGTGACGGTTAATGTATTCTCAAATGATAAGTGGCTAATACTAAACTTCTACAACTGGTTTAGAGATAATTATATACTGTGACAATGAGTATAGTGATGGTCTGATACTGACACAACCAGATTAATGAGGATTCGATATATATAACGATGAAGTGTATTGGAGACATATTAAAAGCGGAACAGACATCTTATATCAGAATCTATAAATAATTTCAGATGCAAAAAATGAAACAAAGGTGACTGAAAAAAGTTCCAGTCAAAGTGATTAAAGTGTTTGCGGGGGCTGAATTTAGTCCATCATGTCCTGTCGTCTTCGTTTTCACCAGTGATATACTAGCGAACAATATTTGAATTTTAATAAGTTCTTGATGACAAGAAGTTTTGTCAACTTACAGAGAGTAAACACTGATTTATTCTCTGTCTAACAATCTCCTTCAGTACTCTACATTGGTATCTTTCTCTATAAAAAGGCGATATATCGTTCGTTTATATATACATAATAATTCGATGCAATTCAAGGTTACCAACTTTTTTATTACATAATATTTAAGTCAACTCAGCTTCTAATCCCGTCTCGCTGAATCATGGCTCCATTCACGAACAACAGTGCATGTTACGCATAAGAAATAAGTGTGTCAGGGATTTGATATTATTTACCCTAATTAAAAATATTGGTAGAATGTATGTTATTAAACAATGTACATTGTAAAATAATCCATTTTCTAGGCTGTCTGTTTCTCTTTTTTTATGAATAGTATAAACACTCCGAAAATAGAAGAACATATAATTCAAAATGAAATAGAAAACAATGTTGACTTCCGTATACCTTGTAGATTTCTTCGGAGATTGAGTAATCTAATGAGAATATTAAGTTGCGAAGTTAAGGTAAAATACATTCGTATAAAAGCTACCATGTTGGCAGAGAAGAGTGTATTTAAACACCTTAGACATACTGTGTTGTTGACAAGAATAAATTCATCAGAAAGCTCGAGTTTTTGATGCGATTTCCCAGCAGAATAGATTAAATAGATCAACTCACTTTGGTATTGAAGTTGTTACTAAACAATAATAAAGAAATTTGCCCCAATTTAAGTTAAAGATTGAAGTGATTTTGAAAGTCAAGCTAAGTGCTGATTGAAAATAGATTGTCCAATTACAAGTTTCTATAAGTATCTTTACCAATGATTGAAAGAAACGTCATACTGTAGATTTCAGAGAGGTGCAAATTGAAGATGCCCCTTTATGATAAGACGAAAACTGAATACAGGTCCTTCATCGATTGCGAGTTTTGTGAGAGATGGTTACAAGTTCTCTATTTAACTTTGTGGGCGTTATATACATGTAAATGAATAACACCATGAATACAAATTTGGATAAAGTAGATCCAAACAATTAATTAATCTGCATCACAAAGATGTTTCGTCAGTGAGCCTTAAAGTTTAAACTAGGAGGCGACTGTGGAAATAAAAAAAAATCGGAACAAATGTCTATATTAAACGTTAAGGAATACTAGCCCCATAATACAGCACACTTCGTATTTTTCATATATATAATAATTGCATAAGAATGGTAAGTACATGTGTTACATATTGTAAGATACAATCAAATCATATTTTATTTATCATAGCAAACATGTTTAATATCAGTTAGATAAACACAAATTATTTCAGTCATAACTAGTAATTATTGTAATTACATAAATATATATCTTTAAAGCAAACAAATCTCATACATATTTCTAAGTTGTTGTTAGATTAGGTAATGTAGTACGTCTTTACTGAAGCTGCTTCATCCCATCCCATCAGAGTGATTTGATTCACAAAATAAAATGTGTTTCATTTGAAAACAATTGCTCTTCTTCGTCTTAAAATCAAATAAAATGTTATTTTTATTATGTAATAATAAATGAATAAAAGAAAATAAAAACGGTAGCTTTTTTCTTTCAAAAAATATTCACTTTGTGAGTTTCGAACAGAGTTGGTTTTGATAGTCGTTTCACATTTTATTCCTGTGTGTTAATTATGGGTACGGGTATAAACTTAAGTAGATCTACCGAGTCGCATGTCGATTTCATGTTTCAAGGGATGCTGCTATTTAATACATACAACACATGACAGTACTTTATCATCTTCATATGGTGGACATTTTAAAGAGCCACACTTTGCTCGTACTTGGAAGAATAGTTTACCATCATCATTACTACTTCCGCCACCGTTTAGCGTCTGTGGCTGTCGGTCTACACAAACGTACTGTGACGCGGCTGGCTGGTTATAGTAACCGGAAGCTAGGTATCCATGATATGCTTCCTCCCATCCGGGGTAGCAGGTGGTGCGCGCTGGAATCATGATTGAAGTTGACTGACTGCCACTTCGACAAACAGCACAGGGAACATCTCTGTTTCTGTCTTTTACGTCGAATAGGATATCATCTTCGTATTCAGCGCCATACATAAAGCCTGGTTGTTGAGCTCTAATATCTTGTTTTGGGCCCCAGGACGGGTCAGGAGGAAGACATACATACTCGGCAGCAGCGCCTTTATTGGAATAATGCGATCCGCCAGCATAGCCTGCACAAACGATATACAGACAATTATGACAGCACAGTAGGTATACTTATTTAAAAAACAAGACAGAAAATACCGAAATTTCAACAGAACCTTAACTCAAACCTAAATTCAATAAACGAGGTTAACATATCAATAAGAGAGATATACAGAGGACCTTGAAAAAGCAACAAAGGCATAAGGTGTTTCGAAAGAATAAACGTATTCTGCTTCATATACGACACCCACCATAGCAATCCTAGTTAACTGAAGGTAAGAAAATTAAGTAAATTAAAACATCTCTTGTTTAATCAAATAATGACTGTAAATATGGCTACAATCGTATTTTCTTTGTACTGATTGTATATTTCTCAAATTAGACACTTCCATTATAATCTCTAGGCATGCATGATCCAAGTTTTCAGAAGATTTACAAGTTCGAACCTATTTAATATAAGATTATTAACTATAAACAATATAGGCATGCATGATTCAAGTGTTCACCTCAGAAGATTTTTAAGTATAAGTTCAAAGCTATGTTATATCAGATAATTAACTTTTTTTTATTTTAAAGAGTATATATAACAACATTTGATTTAAATTTCACTGTTTAAAACGCTTTACGAGAAATGCTAAAGAGGATTACGTATTATGAATCAGTTTCAATGTAATAATATTGGAATATTTTGAAGGATTTCATTTTCATCTATACAATTTGTTTTGATTTGTACCTGAGTAAACCAATTCAGTTTCGTTTCCAGGGCAAGTTTTCCTTCCCCATCGGATGTACACCACACCTAAAAGAAATTATGCATGTATTAAAACATATCTAAATGAATAATTTCGTGATGGGTAACATCTATTTTTGTAAATATATTGTGATACATTGTACCAAAAAATAAATAGATATCTGATGTAACTTTTATAAATCATACTATGAAGTCATATATTTTCGTGGGACTTCATTTCCGTGGTTTTTCAAAACAATTATATTTCGTAGACACTCGCTTTCGTGAAAAGACATATCCCGCTGAATATGGTTTTACAAATTGTAACACTTCAAGGACATACAAACTCATGAATTAAGAGTACCCGTGAATTTAGCGAAAATAAAAGGCTGACGGAAATTAAATATTTTACAGTACTAACAAGTTTCAGTTGACCATGAAAACTTATTACCATTTCTGGTCTTGGCTTGCTGTTGTAGGACCAATATCCTCTCCTGAAAAGGAAAAGCATTACCAAACATTTATCCTACAAACTAGCAGGTTTATTTTTATTTACTTTTTTTCCAAAAGAAATATAAAACATAAAACAAGAAAAGATTAGAACATATCTTTATAATACCATGCAAAAATTGTTTTAATAATACATTTCTGGGGGTAATGTCTTTACCTTTCCAGAGCACATTATCTTATTCACCATGTGCGTTTTCATAGGTCTTTTTGTAAACTGTTTACCTTTTGTTTAATCGACTTTGAGATTGACTTTGGATTCTGTTAACATGAGTTTTTTTCCTTTGTTGCTATCTGTTTACATGTGTTTTTCTTTGTTTCTTTCTGTTAACATGTGGGTTTTTTTTGTGTCTTTCTGTTAACATGTGAGTTTTTTCTTTGTTTCTATCTGTTAACATGTGAGTTTTTTGTTTCTATCTGTTAACATGTCTTTTTTCATTGTTTTTCGGTCGTTTTCAGTGCACATTGATTGTATCGTGATATAGACAACTAGGACTGTCAGGGTTGAAAAGAGAAGCGTACCTGTTGTTGATCCAGTAATTTCTGTTGGTTTCTCAGTGTATTTTCCATCTTATCGAGATCTGGCGGAACACTTGTCTCTGGACGGTATAAAAAATAATGGATTAAAGATATCCCATAGTACATTACATTCATGTCAAATAAACAATAATTAAATTTCTTTTTTAATTTTTTAATTTTTTTTTAAATTGTTGTATAAATGCAAAATGACTTATATATGATATATATTAATATATTGTGGACATTGGAATTCACAATTTACGCACTATTTACAAACTATTATTAAGGAATATCGTCCTGCTTACAAAATCATAAATGTCTTTATGTGGATTTACATTTCCATACCAGACAGAAGTAAAATCATATTCTTTGTCATTTTTTCAGCTGATTTTGTGTCAGTATTAAATCAGTCATTGATCTGTGCAGTCTTTGTCATTTTTCAGCTGATTTTGTGTCAGTATTAAATCAGTCATTGATCTGTGCAGTCTTTGTCATTTTTTCAGCTGATTTTGTGTCAGTATTAAATCAGTCATTGATCTGTGCAGTCTTTGTCATTTTTTCAGCTGATTTTGTGTCAGTATTAAATCAGTCATTGATCTGTGCAGTCTTTGTCATTTTTCAGCTGATTTTGTGTCAGTATTAAATCAGTCATTGATCTGTGCAGTCTTTGTCATTTTTCAGCTGATTTTGTGTCAGTATTAAATCAGTCATTGATCTGTGCAGTCTTTGTCATTTTTTCAGCTGATTTTGTGTCAGTATTAAATCAGTCATTGATCTGTGCAGTCTTTGTCATTTTTTCAGCTGATTTTGTGTCAGTATTAAATCAGTCATTGATCTGTACAGTCTTTGTCATAAAAGTATTAATCACTAAACGACTGTAACAGAATATGTAAAATTATCAGATTACGACCTTTGTTCTTAGATGTGACTATGGAAACTGGATCCAAAGAAATATCTAATTGGGGAGGTGCATCATATCGCTAGTGTACCTCCCCATTTTGATGTTGACATTTCTTTGAATCGAGTTCCCAAAGTCATTTCTAAGAATTCCTCAAAATTTCGACCTAAACACCACAGCCGAAACCTAGAAGGACAAAACAGGTATATGGCGCAGTTTACTTCCTTATTTGACTCTACTGCATCTTGTTCGAAATTTTTATTAAAAGGAGTTACTCACTTGAGTGTCTTTTGCACAAACTTTTCAATCGTTCATCGTTGTTTTTGTTTTGCACACAAACCCAAATCAAAAACAATCTTATTTTGTGCAAGGAAATAATGAATTTGACAATGATTTTGTTAATGTTATTTTCTATATATATATATATACATATATATATTATTTCCTCAGATAATCTATCGAATAAAATACCTCTTTAGTTTTGTATCCTTGACAACGCACACTTTTCGGCATGTCGGTGTGAACTACTGAAATATGCTATTTATGCTAATGCATAAGTATTTTGAAGTCGATCTCGTCTTTTCTAGATGTGAAAATACAACCTGATATAACACAAATACTTACTGATCTCATCTCTTGATCTCGCGGGGCAGTTTAAAACCAATGAATGTAATTAATCACATGAGTTAAAAATTTCATTTGAAATAATCGATTTTGACGGGACCTGTAAATTGCACTCGCTGATGTATACGACTATGTTCTAAAGGACACCGATGCATTGCTAATCGCGATAAATGAGTATAGCGGTTAAAGATTAATTGACGAGAAAAAAAAGTGAAATAACAATTAATATATATTTCAAGTATTTTTTGACATGTTATATTGAATAGCTTTATAATTCTTGACGTTTGTTGATGTACGAGGAGGAGTATACATTCGGATTGATTTTGAACTCTTTTTAAGGGAATCTAGTAGATCGGTATCATTTTAAAATGTTTGGCCACCATCAACTGCACCTTTTTTAGTATTATCTATCAGTATTACCTGCTAGAAGATGAAGATAATATTAACACGAAGTTGATGGGAAATTTTTGTTTTGTACTGGTTTGTAGCATTTGTAAAACCTACCGTTTGTTTCCGTCTTCTTTGTTTGTTTCAGCTGCTGATATAAATTTGTTATTGTCATCTGTAAGGTAAAAAGAGCCCTGTTAATGTTATTTCAATCTAAATTGTTGTTAGAATTTTTATTTTATTTATTGTATCATCATTATTTTATTCATTTTGTTAATTCAAAACAATAAAATAAATGCTAGTAACGATGTACGTTTAACAAATTTATATTATGACCAAGGTTTACATGACGGGTGTCGTCGATGAAGCAGAAGACGTTCACACTTCCGGAACACCTGGTATTATTGTCCTTGTACTTTCTCAGAAGCCTCCGTGTAAATCTTCCTTTTGTTCAAATTTTGTCCTAGTTTTATTGAATGTAAGTTTAGATTAATATTAAGTTGACAACGGTATAATCGTGCTGTTTTTATCATATTGATGTCATATCTGTCGATAAAACATGTTTTACGTGAAAAAAATGAAAGAGACACCAAAAGATTGAGCACATATAAGATATATAAACATATTGTACATGTAGTGAAAATTGATACCTTATAAAAACATATTCCGAGCTCTGTGTGTATAGTATATTATTGTAGATAAATTGATACATTATTAAATAAAAACATTGTAGATACAATTGATACATGGTAATTACAAAATTATAGTTACAATTAATACATTATAAATACCACATTGTAAGTACAATTGATAAATTATAAATACCACATTGTAAGTACAATTGATAAATTATAAATACCACATTGTAAATACAATTGATAGATTATAAATACCACATTGTAGATACAATTGATATATTGTAAATTCATAGATAGTCATATATGTGACAGATTCACCATATAAATAAAACAATTGAGACCTGTTGTTGATGAAGTTCTTGTTCTTGTTTCTTCAGTTTGTTCTCCATCGTTTCAAAGTCAGGCACATTGTTTCTTGCTAAAGAGTAAATAAATAAATGACAAATATATCTGAGTATTTATCTTTCTGTACTATTACATAGCATTTATCAACTGACTATCGGTTATATGAAGCCAATACCATATGTCTCAATGATTTTAAATATGTTTTTTAAATGCAATCTTTCAGATCGGTATCATTGTTAAACGCAACTTAATGATATGCATTTAACGTCTGAGTTCTTCATTTAGAAATATCAAAAAGAAACAGATTAGATATTCTATCCGCGAATAAAACAGTCATATTTTGCACTAAATGCACGTATAAAAGATACGTAGGAGGACCTGGCGATGTGGATATCTTGAGATAAACATCTTTTGTTTATCTCACCAATCAGTGACATTGTACAGAAGTGGCTTAGCCTTCAGCACTCTCTAAAATGTAATGTAAAATATGGACGATTCATACAATACATCTGGTGTAGTGGTAAAGAAAACAACGTTGCTCTCGACTATCCATTGTGATGATACCTACAGCTATGTATTTTATATAACACTTAGCATCTGATCAACAACTATGGTCATTTAGGAATCCATCCAATTTACACAAGTTTAGTACATAAGTTGAATGCGTGTGTTTTCTGGAGGCTATAATTTATTCCTAAAAAGTCTCCTTATAATTTTACGTAAGTGATTCCGTCTTTATAGTGCTATCACACTGAAGTATACCCACTAAGAACCCCAAAAGAACATTCTATCAGAACACATAAAACTGATGACTAGTGTACCGTGGGTTGATCTATCACAATTCGTGAACAATATGAATAGCAACTCCCTGTTTAAAGACTCCAATGAGACTTGGTGACAGAACTTAAAGCCTCCCTCACAAGTGAACTCTCAGCTAAAGCTCAAAAGTGAAGCGGTTCAAGGGAGACGTTAGAAAAATAGTACAGAAAAATGAGAAAATGCAATATCCTCAATTTAGTTGCCCCTTACAAGTCGTGTGTGCAGCAGGAACAGTCTTATGTCGTATCTGCAGGCACAAAATTGTCAATTTCATCGCAGTTTTTAATCAGCGAATGTTTGTGATGAAAAGTATCGATTTAGTTTCGACTTCCTTGGCACGTCCTAAAAGTCCTCTGGTGGCTTGTGTTAATTTTTTAAGTATAATTCTAATAGTTTGTAATATTTAACAATTATTTAGGAAAAACAAGTATATAAAGGAAAAGATCCTAGTCCGGACAAGATCCTTGGGGTACTCCAGATGTCACTGTTCCTTAGAATGTTTCCTGCAAGTGCAGGTAAATTTAGGTGTGTAGGGTATTTGAGTCCATATTGATATTTTCATTTTAAAAACAGGATTTTTCTATAGATGGCTGAAGGCAATCAAATTATAGCTCGCATATACATTAAAATGAACCGAGATTTTAAAAAGTTATCACGCAATATCCCCAGGGTCGACGATTTTCAATGAATGCTCATTTCACTAAGTTCTATGCAATATATATTTTAAAATGTTGGTTCTATGCTTTCATTATGTCATACTGAATCTTAAAACTATCTTGTCAAATAAATATATGGACCATTCAAATCCCTGTGATAATTTATTATGAATTAACAGAAAGCAAAAACCAAATTATGATATAAACTATTGTAATTATCAACTCGCAACTCCACGACAATTTTTAAATATTAAAGAGGACAAATAATTTTAATGAATCCCTGCAAAAATCGATATAAAAATTTTGTGGGAAGTCCACAAATGGAAAAGCAGTATAAAATTTGATATTCAGTATACTATAAAAGATACCATACTTAAGAAGTTTGTTAAGGAAATGCGCGTGAATGATTTAAATATGAAATATGATATTACCTAGTAAGTAGATAACACCGACTCCTAGAATACACACCACTACAGCTAAAACTGCCAAAGCGATGTCTCTCCGATCCATCTCCCTCCAAGGAAGGTAACTCTTTGTTTTGAAATCATACGACATCCTTCACAACAGGGATCGAGATATTTATTAAGGTAAAACATTGTGAACGGTATATAATACTGTGATAAAGGCATGCACTCAAATATGGCCTGGTCTCAAAAAATTGGTCAGGTCTCCAATATTAGCTATCAACTATGGTGTTCCTTGACGTTTCACATAAAAGTGTCATTTAAACGGAACATTGCACCAATAGGGACATATTATGTCAAAAACATTATGTCACTTGGTCACCTCTGTATGCTTTAACCACCATGTCACATTTCAATTCAATCGAATAGTGGCACGGTGCAGAATACACACGTTCTTCTGAAATTAGTTAATATTAAAGCTGACTTATTCTTTTAAATCTTAGAACAACTCTCAATCAGGGGGCCTGACATTAGGTCCGATTATCTTCAGTCGCCTCCGCGTCGTCGACAATGTAGGCCCTCAGCGTGATTGCTTGATCCAGGAAGAATGAAACAGTTGTATGAAGCAGATTTATCCATTTGGTTCTATTGTTTTTCAGAAATTATATCCAAAGGTGCTTTCGTGTCTTGTATTTAAAATGATACCAGCATGTCAACACAATCACAATCCAAACAAAATATGAACAAAAGAAAGATTTACTAGGAGACTGCTAGAAAAGTACAAGGAGACCAGATGTTCAGGAAGAGTAAACGTCTTCAGCTTCTTCGACGAAACCCACCAGGTAAATTTTGGTCAATCCAAGTAAGAAATGTCACGTTCTCAAATGAGAACAAGGTAAATAACGACGAACCAACAGGCAAACTAGCGAGCTTTAAAACGTCCAACTTCATATCACACACAGAAATAGAATATTTCTCTTTGAGATTACCGATAGGGTTTTAATCCCGAGGTTTGTCGTAACCTGCAAGGTTCATGATATATACATGTACTTGACGTTCTTCTCTCAGATATATGAAAATTACGAAATTTATTCAATTATGAGTCTAGTGTACGTACCCATCAATATTGTGACATTTCTTTCGATCACTTCAGGGTATGTTGACTATCAACAATTTACAATATGGTTTACTCTGTTTTGTTGTTTGTTTTGTCAATGTAAATGATTAATTATGTACCAATTACCAGATATACAAATATATAAATTAAGCCACGCCCCTATTTTTGACAACATATTATCGATATAGCGGAGCAAATATGAACCTCCAAAAAGGTAATGTCCCTTTTATAACTGTGAATATATCTACATTTGGGCAAAATACATATTGCATGCAATTGTCCTCAGCGAATACTGATAACCATAACCAAGTCCCCGGGTCAAGTACTTGTCAACTGTAACAACATAAGAGGTAAATAGATTTCTGTGTAATTTTAAGTGATATTAACCAGATTTGGCTTTCCCCAAGCAACGCTGATCAGACTTGTAAATTAGAAAGGCAAATCACATTCAGGTAAAATAATAAAACACCACTGGTTTTTCCTGTATCTTTTCTGTTAGATAATTTTATTGTACAGTTTTCTCATTGTTCTTTTCGACAGTTTCTGTGTAAAATCTATTTTTATTAATATATTTCCCTGGAAAGATCGTTTTTAGGGTTTTTAAGATCTATCCGTTCGTTCAAATACCATTAAGATTTTTTTTTCGTTTGTCTTGTGATTGCCTATAATCTATTTAGCGACAAGAAAATGTTTCTTCGATAACAGACTACATAATAACAGTCGTGTTGTTGGCATATTTATTTCTTATTATTATTTACAACCATTATGTAATATGTGGTCTTTATGCTGACTATATTTTTAAAGTGTTTTCCATCGAAAAAATAACAATCAAGTTGAATTGAAACAAGCATTTTCATTGGCCGATCTCCTTATTCCATCACCCCAAAACATAGAAAAACCGACGTCATTTTGCAACGTCAAATTTGATTGGCTAATGTGGTGGTGTGAGAAAATGTAATAGAAAAAGACTTTGTGATAACTATTAATTTGTATGGATTTTCCGTTTTTATGGTTCGGTAACATAAAACATTATTCAAGTTCATCCTTTATCTTAAAATTTTGAAATATTTTACAAAATATTATCTGACCAGTCCTCGTAATATATATTTACTGAAACATTCTATTTCATGTGATAAATGTGATACACATATATTCCTGCTGATTAAAATAATTCCAGACTTCCAATTTCGATTTTGTCAATACATAATGTCACTTCTCCATGTCATATGTATGGAGAATCTCCAAAACGGCGAAAGTAACACAACGAGTTGACATAAAGGAAATATATTATCAAAAGCTTTCAGAAAATGTCTGTTAAAGTGGTATTATATGGTGCCGATCGCCTGTTCTACTGTTGTAATGGCGTTCAACTTGTAGCCGTGTTTTCTAATGACGTCTTGGTTTTTTCAAAAAGATCTAGAAAAGTATCAATCTATCCCAGAGTGCATTGCGGTACCCCAATAACATGTTTTGTGATTGCTAAGGAACGACAACTCTGGTAGAGATTGGTAAAGTATGTGGAAGAAATACGGCAATGTTTTATTCCACACTCGTTATAACATTATAACATGAATAAAATTTCCCACAGCTATCAGAGCCTGTTGTTTGAAACAACCAGTAGCAATGACTAACATTTGATGAAGAGCTGGAAATACGGTGTTTTTTTTTTCAAATTCCAATCCCACCAATGCATTTTTTTAATTATACGAACTTTCTATAAATATCATAATTTAGATTCATTTGTTTTGAAATAATTCCCATAAACTAGGATTGTTCAAACAGCGAGACAAATAAAGCAACTTCATTTTTACATTCTATTGTCACGTTGATATACCCTCTATCTCTGCGTGACATTATAGGTGAAAAATCTGGCCGACTCAATCGGTTGCATTGTGTTAAATCATGATACTGCATACTGTGTTAAAAAATTAGATCAAAACGTAGGCCCTCAGTGTCACTGACGAGTTCTGGAAGGACGAAATAACTGTATGGTGCAGCTGTATTCATTGTTGAATGCAAAAAAAAAAAAAGATGTTGAGCGTCTTTTGTGCAATCTTTATATTTTGATATCAATATTCTAATATCCAATATCATAGCAAGACCGTGCATTAATTAAATATTCTAATACCTTAAAATTTTCTAAAAGTTTGTAGTTTCTCACATGTTTAAATCTGCATTTGGTTACTGTTGTTTTCGAGGGTTTTTTTTTTTTTTTTTTTTTGTATTTTTGTTGAATGTTTGTTAACATGAAACCTACGGGACAATATGGCGTTATATAATTCCAAACCTTTTGGTGATGGGATGATGATGATGATGATAATATATATCATGAATTAGCTCAATTCTTTTATCATTGTTCAACTTCATAACTGGTCTCCTCTATAGTGTAACTTGCTTTTGTTTCCATACGAGGCCGGATTCATTGAAGAACTTATCAGAACAGGTCACAATGTCATTAAATTTCACTTTAAGTTATATTAGTGACGTTTTCAAATAATAGAGATGTATTGACCATGTCTATTGTATATAATGTACCACCAGAATTGAAAATCAAGAACACGACAGACTCTTCTACTACACCAGCCAGTTATCTAGATCTTTTCAACATGGACAGCTTTCCATCAAGCTGTATGATAGGCGTGATGACTTCAATATCCCCGTTCTGAATTTTCCACTTCTGGATAGCAGCCTTCCTACATTTCACCAACCTATGGTGTTGACGCGTCACAGTTTATTCGATATTCAACGGCATGTTCCAGAACGATTTCATTAGTGTTTTCATATCTCTGAAAGTGTCAGTCGGTAACCGCTCGGTTAGCTTGGCTGTGAGTAGTGTTTCAATCTATGAATTCTTGATCCAACATAAATTTCCTTCCACCGACGATAAACCAGAAAAAAAATCATTTTCGTTAGGCTATGAAAAATTACAGATAATCAATGTTGTATTCTATCTATTGATATAACAAAGTGCAGATCAGTTCTCGTAGATTGTGCAAAAGTAATGAAGGGTTTTTTAACAATGTATAGAACATGACAAAATTTTACAGTTGAAACATAATGTGAATTTTCCTCCGAATGAAATTTTAAAACAAATCATAAAAAGGTCATTTAGCTGACGCATGCACTGTATATAGTTATTTATGAGACAGTCAGGTCAGCTTCAATCTGTCTATCGCTAGCCGTTTTAGAAACAGTTTGTCCGTCTTGCCGTTGTGAAGTCTTGGGAATTCATTAAAACGTAGGAAGAAGGACGGAGCACTACCCAACATGTTGTCTCCTAAGGTCATCCTACACATTCGATGTAGTTCATTTTCCGTTGTATTTGAATTATTTACCATGACAACGCATGCGCAAATTTCCTCAAACAGTCGGACGTCCGGCACAGAGAGTACAACAGCTTCTTTTACTTCCGGTAGTTTCATAATGACAGTTTCCACTACACTCGCCAACACTTTCACACCTCCTCGCTTAATCACTTCAGTGGACTTGCCCTTAACAAATAACTTGCTTTTCGTTGTAATGACTCCGATATCCCCTGTTGGAAACCAGCCCCCGCTAGCAAAACAAGCATGGTTTAGTTTTGCGGAATTACGGTAGGATTTCAACATCCATGGCGACCTGATAAGAATTTCACCCGAAATTCCGCGGTTCAGAGTTTCGCCGCTCTCCCCTATGACTTTTACCTCATATCCTGGAAACAAAGGTCCGACATATCCAGTCTCCATTCCCGGTGTGAGTTCCGTTAGTGATACAATTCCGACTTCCGTGGAGCCATAATCTACAAAAAGCTTCTGTGTAAGTTTCCCGCATATTTCAGAGAGATGGCTGCTGATCGTCTGACCGCCGGTTGCAATGGCGTATAACTGATGCCCTAGCTTCAAAATGGCGTCCTGTTTTTCAATCAAATCTAAGACAGTGTGCGGAAAAAATATGGCGTTTGAACACTGTTCCGTCATGATGATATCCCAAACAGCCATGATGTTTTCTTTTTTCAGACTTATTGCAGACTTTACAAACACTCGTGCATTTCCATTTAAGACATTGAATATTGGCGAGCCCCCTATCCAAGAAAATAAACAGTCGTTATAGCAGGTGCCGATTGTTAAGTCTCCTCCCGTTCCCAAAAAGGCATTATAGGGAGCATTTACAACTGCCATATGAGTCATTTCGACCAATTTTGGAACTCCAGTTGAACCGGAAGTTGTATAAATCAAGGCACTACTTTCTGGCTGTATCCTTGGCAACGAGATCGACGCTTCTGAATCTGTTAGTGTGATGTCGGTCAGTGAGGGGAGGGAAGAGAGTGTTGATTTTTGTAGTAAAACAATTGTAAGTCGATCCTGTTTATGTTCATTGTTGTTGATATACTTCTTCGTGTCTGATAAGAACTGTTCGTCTGAATCAGGGTCGAGCAGAACAACTTTACATGTTAAAGTTTTAAGTAACTTAATAGTCTCGGCGAAAGACTCCGATGTTTTGTTCACCTGAACAGCGACAGCTCCTGTTAAGAAGATTGCAAATTGGGCTATGATCCATTCGATAGAGTTGGGCCCAATAATGGCTACTTTATCCCCTGGTATGATTCCTATGAGGGTCAGGTACTTTGCTACCACTATGGACCTATTTTGAAGCTCTCTGTTTGTCAGCGTTCTTCTTCCACATCCCACAAATCGCTCGATAAAGTTTTCCTTTTCGGGTGCCTTGTCGGTCTTTTCCCACAGTACGTCAGTTATGGCTTTGTACCGGAAACTGACTGTGTTTGGACGAGACAGGTAGCTCAGGTCGTTCATCGTCTGACTGGAACAAATATTCGATAGCACTACGTCAATATATATTATAAACAATGTGTATCCAGAATGATTATGACTTCATTTGAGGGCTGAGAGATAATTTTGTCCACAGATAAAATCGTTCAAATAACAAAGAGCAAAACAATGATTAAACAATATTTAGAAAAGTAGAGATAAAGATAAATGAGGATATTCACCATTTCTTTATTTATACATAAAATAATCAAATGTTTCCTGTACGATGGGGGTGGTGGAGATATCCTATCTATTTGTAGGCCTTGAAGTTTGATGTATTCGATGCAAAGTTATCAAGTTATCATACCGTTGTAACAAACGACGGTTCTGTTTGTGTTTGTTTGTTTGCGTTTGTTTTTGAAAGATGCAAAATAAACATTCCGTCCTGATTTAATAACGCTAACATGCACGTGCACATGAAGTCCACACAGTTCTCGGTAAATGATAATTCTCAGAATGTGGATCTTACACACTGATGTTGGTGTGACAGTCATCCTCATTATAATGAAACTGATTAAAAACGTGACGAATGTATATTTTTTTTCTTGGAAGATGATAGGCCACGTAATCTACATCTTTTAAGAATGAAAGCACAAAAGTTACCCAATAATGAATTGGTGTCAGTATACGTAACATTAATAAGAGAAAATTATAAATGAATAGATAAATAAAGGTTGACCTACATGTACTTCGTCCCGGTGTGTGTGTCTTGTCATCAAATCTAGTGACTTGTGTAAACTATGTGTCTGACCGAGGGATGGGAAGTGTGTGGACGTAATTTGACGGCACCCCTAGGAGGGAAAAAGGAAAACCTGACACAGCATAATGATAGTTGCTTCTGAATACTAGTCACCATCTACTGCAAGGTTATAATTATTTATGAGACTTTTTTTATAACTGGAAGTGAGGTAGCTGTTCTGGTTTTTGTTTGTTTGTAGCTTAACGTCCTCAAAACAGGCAGAATATACGGCCTGTATCGCTCAACGCGCAAAATTGATTCCTTTTCGCATTCTACATTCTGATTTAAACCGCTGGTTCAGGCTATTCTTTGTACGAATCTGCAGTCTGGGGACAAACTGAACAACGCCGGAAAATGAATAATATTCGAACACATGCCATGAAGCTTTTTATCGACGTTGGTAAGCATGCGTGTATGGGAAATTATTGGTAACTTAGCAACAGATGAAAGTTTTTTTCATTATATCCGGACGTTGACACTGGACGACTTCTGTAAAAAAAAAATTGTCGTCTAGGGGAGGGAACTCTTGGTAAAACTAGGCAGCAGTCTACGAATACATGATGAATCTTTGTGGTTTACAAAACTGTGGTTAGCTAAATGTAGAAAGGGTGGATTTTATTTTGTATGTAATGTACTTGATTATTGTTATATTCTTTCACGCGTTTGTTTTGTTGTTGCACTCGCGCGCAAAGACTGGACGTGAATGTTAGTACCTTTAACAGCCTATGTACTAAAGTCACTATTTTTTTTAATATTAATATTTTTCATAATTGTTGGTTTTTTTACATTTAGTTATCATTAAATGTACACCAGATCACAACTTTTTATATATAAGAAAAATCATTGTGATTGCCATTATTCGTGAATTATATTTATGATTTCAAAGTAAAGTTTGGTTAATTGTCCATACATCTGATGTTAGGCATGAGTGCAATAGTGTATTTGTTTGTATGAGTCGTTTTAACGATTAGTTCTTACGATCGGCTCAATGCCACACGTAAACCATTGTTGAAATGTGTTAAAAGTGTGTTTAATAGAAATATAAAATAGTAATATAGCGGTATTTATTAGTAGTGTTAAAGGTAATTTATAGGTAGTTTATCTTTTATAACAACATAATATTGGTAATGTAAAATCAGTACGAGTTATGTCCCTTGTTCGTACTTGTGTACGTGCGTTGCTGCAGGAGTGTGTAATTGTTTTTATTTAAATTTGTTACAATGTTTCGATCGTGTCAATAAAAGCTGGTTCCTGATCATGAACTCATAAACTGGTTGTGTTATTTCACATAAGGTTACATCAAGGAACTCACGGCAACAAATTAGGAACGTATCGGCGATTAAGAAAGATTTGATTCCCGTTCAAATTATGTTACGTCCACTTCAGTTGATACAAGATGTTACAGGTTATCTGCCATTTTTCAACAGGTCGATACACGAACACTCCAGTGGAAGACCGTCTATGTAACACAAACTGAAGATGATATTAATTTTGTCTGTGATCGTACAATTAGTGACAATCTTTTTCCTGGAGATCCTTCGATCTTTCCGAATTTTCCTCTTTTAAATTCGTCTGTTTTTATTGATGCAAATGCCGGATATTCACTTTTTATTAGTTAAGACTGTGTTTTTGATGTTTAGATACCGGCGTTAATTTTTACGTACTTCCTGAGGTAAAAATTGACCTGTGTAAGTCTAATACTTCAATAAGTGTGTCCTATAGACCACTATCGACTGAATATTACTTTTGTGTTTGTAAATATAACCAATGATTATTACTTTGTACTGTCATATCTGTTACTTGAATAAAATAAATAGTATTGTATTGTCCCTGGTAACATACACTCAAAACGTATATTTCACAGTACGAGGCCCGCAATCTGTATATGGTGAATCTATGTTTTTAAGAGTTGTCGTTCTTCCTTACCAACTAGAGCGTGAATGGTAGTTCCGCGAACTGGCCTGGTTTTCAGAAAGCGGCTTTTGCTCTGATTTTAGAAAACATTAGCATGCCGACTGTTACAACCTGTGTGTAGACCTGTATTAGGACCTGCGGCGATATCGCACGGTTTAAAGGTGAGGTCAAAAGGTAAGGTGATAATTTTTTCTGGCTACTGGCTAGTTTTGTCCTTCGGTTTCGTTTTCATTTTTCTGTTTTGATAACGCCACATTGTTGACCTCTGTGCGCAACATTTTCGACTAAGTCGTGTTTACGGGATGCTTATGGTGCCTTGAATTTAAATATTAAAGATACGATCGACGTGTATTTTATTATTGTCATAATTGTCTTTGATTATTATTTTAATATTGTGAATAGAACTTTCTTTCATGATTTTGTGTTAGAATTGCTATAAGCATATGCAGGGGAGGATTAGATGTTATACCAGTGTCTGTTAATGGGGCTGGATGGAGGGAGAGGGGGATAGGACACCAGTGTCTGTAAATGGGGTCGGGGGGTGGGGGAGGATTAGATGTTATACCAGTGTCTGTTAATGGGGCTGGATGGAGGGAGACGGGGATAAGACACCAGTGTCTGTAAATGGGGTTGGGTGGGTGGGGGGGGGGGGGGGGGGAGGATTAGATGTTATACCAGTGTCTGTTATGATGGCGGAGAGTTTTAGCAAGAGTGTCAATGTAAGTGTGGATGGATTGGGGAAAGGGGGTTAAGAACTGGATATGACACCAGTGCCGGTGAATAGGGGTTGATGGCGGGAAAGGATGTAGGGTAAGACTTACTGTAGATGTTACACCTGTCTGTGAATGGAGGTTTGTGGAGAAAAAAAAGATGGGGTGTGTGTGTTAAGAATGATATTTAATACCTGTGTCCATGAATTGGTATTGATGGAGGGAGAGAAGGGAGGATGTAGAATTGAAAGGTACAATGCTGTGTGTAAATGGAGTAGCTGGAGGTAGAGGCAGGGGTGGAGGTAGTAGGGTGGGAGGTTAAGAATCGTATATAAGAAGGTTGTATGTGAATAAATTGTTTTTGTGGAGTTGCTGTTGAAATAATTAAGTTTGAGTTTAGTCAAGTTTCACTTAGAAATGAATAAAAATTCTGCAACAGCTCATCACTTTTCATTACTGTCAACCATGACCTTTCTCATAACTCAAAACAAGATATTTTATGGGCTAGTACCAGCTGGTTTACAAAAAAATTTCACCCTGATAAATGTTTTTCTTCTGTTTTAATAGATTGCTTTCATCGACTGAAAAGAGCATGGCAGGCCTGAAATCTATCATCTTTGTTGCATTCCTGCCTCATCTGAATGTTGTTCTGGGATATACTGACAATCCACTGTCTGGAGACTGTGTTGACTCTGAGGGACCAAAGTTTAGCCCAGGTCCACAATGGCCTCAGGGTCCACACCTTACAGGTGGGGTCAGCATGTTGAAATTTAGTTGTACAGTTGAAAATTCAGCTACCTCAAGCTTCAACATGACCTGGACTAAAGATGAAGAAATTCTCAACCCTTCAGACCAATATCCTTATATTTGAATGCTAGTTGAAACAAATTGTTGCCAAAGGTACAGGTACTCACTTGTGATTGGTCAAAATTTTCATTGTCAGTGCATTCTAAAGTGCTGTGGTAATTATAATTATCTAGCTATGAATATTACTTTTTCAGTTGTTTGCAGGCATTTTTACTGAAAGTGTAGTCTTGGATTGGTCTCAAAGTTTTTGGCTTGTAAAGTCTGAAATATTTGACCAATGTTCTTCCATGCCTTTATTGCTAATGTTGCTGATGTCAGTCAGTTACTAGCACAGAGTATATGAAAGCATTGCTGCTGTAACGGAATGGTTACGGCACTAAGTGACTTTATCACTAGCCCTCCACCACTGGGTCGTGGTTTCGAGGACTACATGGGGCTGTCACCAGATTCTGCCCGTAGGCATACAATATTCTCCAAGAACACTGTCTTTCTTCTGCCACCCAAACCTGGCATGTCTTCAAATGACCCTGGCTTTTTATAGGCTATTAATATGACAGTAAAACAGTAGAAAACAAACTTTTTGGTCAAAATTGATGAGCTTTTAAAATATCAACAGATGTACACAAACGTTTAATAAAGGGTTTTTTGAGAGATTGTGACTACACAAAATTTTGTCATAATGACACTTGGAGCACAGCTACAGTTTCCTGTGGCATCATTTACAACTGTCAGTGGACATACCTAACAGCACATGTTTACAATTAATACTTGTTTTGGAGTAAAATTTATGGTTTTAGCTCATTTTGATATCAATATAGATGATAGCTTTATGTGGCCGCAAGAGAGAGTATCACTCTTACTTTCATCTGTTATCATCCTTGACAACAAAACTGTCTACTTCGAAAACAGCAATCAGATTTTGGAGATCTGGCCACCCTTGGTGACGTCCGATGGGGGAATGTATGCCTGCACGGTAATTGACAGTAATGGTAACAGCTGTACCTACAAAGGATATGCGATAGTTATCCGTAAGTATTCTAACATCACATCTATCTGTTGTTTTTCTCTCACGGAACTAGAATTACATGAAACATTAATTTAACAGATAATCTTTAATGAGGATATTCAGATAATCCTCTGGAATTGTTCAATTGTTGCCATCAAATCCAAGAGAGAGAAAAATCATTTAAGAGAAAAGGGCAGTAAGGGCTCAACATCCATATTTGTCAAATCTCAAGTTTGGAACGGGGTCTTCCAATTTATTTCAGTAAACGTATCACTCTTCTTTGTAAAATTATGGTCTTAAAGTGGAAATTTTCGAAAAAATACATAGTCTTTGGTTTTTAATAGAATAATTGTCACTGTACCGTACCAAAAATCTGTGATTATGAAACATTGTTTTCTTTTTTTTTTGTTTTAGCGTCGAATCCTACAGGTGCTCCAAATATTGTGGCGACATCTCCAATCAATAAGGTCCAGGTTGTTTCTCTAGGAGATAGCATTCAAATTAGCTGTACTATGACTGTTGGTTCAACAAGTCTATTTGTAAGTTAGATTGTGTGTCACTGAAACCCCCAAGTACAGGTTGACACGTAACTTCTAGGTGTTTCTTATAAGCCCTGATTTAACATAGTAGTGATTAAGTATTCTCGCTGTTTACTGATACTGACCAGCACAACTTAAATGTAATGGACACTGGCTAGTGTCTGTTACAGATCCTGAAGGATGTTTATAGATAACCTGTAAATCTACAACTCTAACAACATATTTTAATGATAATTTCATGAAAAACAAAAGCTAAAGTCCCATATATGTTTTGTGAATTAGTTAGTCTTATGAAAAATATTACCTTAACACTTTGTTGATACTACGATAACACCACTATAGGGCTACAAAAACTACCACTATAGGGCTAAAATAACACCACTATAGGGCTACGATAACACCACTGTAGGGCTACGATAACACCACTATAGGGCTACAAAAACTACCACTATAGGGCTACAATAACACCACTATAGGGCTACGATACCACCACTATAGGGCTACAAAAACTACCACTATAGGGCTAAAATAACACCACTATAGGGCTACGATACCACCACTATAGGGCTACGATAACACCACTATAGGGCTACAAAAACTACCACTATAGGGCTACAATAACACCACTATAGGGCTACGATACCACCACTATAGGGCTAAAATAACACCACTATAGGGCTACCATAACACCACTATCAGGTAACGATAACACCATTGTAGGGCTACGATAACACAACTGTAGGGCTACGATAACACCACTATAGGGCTACGATACCACCACTATAGGGCTACTATAACACCACTATAGGGCTACGATAACACCACTATAGGGCTACAATAACACCACTATAAGGTAACGATAACACCACTGTAGGACTACGATAACACCACTGTAGGGCTACGATAACACCACTATAGGGCTAAAATAACACCACTATAGTGCTACGATAACACCACTGTAGGGCTGCGATAACACCACTATAGGGCTGCGATAACACCACTATAGGGCTAAAATAACACCACTATAGGGTTACGATACCACCACTATAGGGCTACAATAACACCACTATCAGGTAACGATAACACCATTGTAGGGCTAAAATAACACCACTATAGGGTTACGATACCACCACTATAGGGCTACCATAACAGCACTATAGGGCTACGATAACACAACTATAGTGCTACGATAACACAACTATAGTGCTACGATAACACCACTATAGGGCTAAAATAACACCACTATAGGGCTACAATAACACCACTATAGGGCTACGATAACACCACTCTCGGGCTACGATAACATCACTATAGGGCTACCATAACATCACTATAGGGCTACCATAACACCACTATAGGGCTACGATAACAATACTATAGGGCTACAAAAAACTACCACTATAGGGCTAAAATAACACCACTATAGGGCTATGATAACACCACTGTAGGGCTACGATAACACCACTATAGGGCTACAAAAACTACCACTATAGGGCTAAAATAACACCACTATAGGGCTACGATACCACCACTATAGGGCTAAAATAACACCACTATAGGGCTACAATAACACCACTATCAGGTAACGATAACACCATTGTAGGGCTACGATAACACAACTGTAGGGCTACGATAACACCACTATAGGGCTACGATACCACCACTATAGGGCTACTATAACACCACTATAGGGCTACGATAACACCACTATAGGGCTACAATAACACCACTATAAGGTAACGATAACACCACTGTAGGACTACGATAACACCACTGTAGGGCTACGATAACACCACTATAGGGCTAAAATAACACCACTATAGTGCTACGATAACACCACTGTAGGGCTACGATAACACCACTATAGGGCTGCAATAACACCACTATAGGGCTAAAATAACACCACTATAGGGCTACAAAAACTACCACTATAGGGCTACAATAACACCACTATAGGGCTACGATACCACCACTATAGGGCTAAAATAACACCACTATAGGGCTACCATAACACCACTATCAGGTAACGATAACACCATTGTAGGGCTACGATAACACAACTGTAGGGCTACGATAACACCACTATAGGGCTACGATAACACCACTATAGGGCTAAAATAACACCACTATAGGGCTACAATAACACCACTATAGGGCTACGATAACACCACTCTCGGGCTACGATAACATCACTATAGGGCTACCATAACACCACTATAGGGCTACCATAACACCACTATAGGGCTACGTTAACACCACTATAGGGCTACGATAACACTACTATAGGGCTACCATAACACCACTATAGGGCTACAATAACACCACTATAAGGCTATGATAATACCACTGTAGGGCTACGATAACACCACTTCTTGCTACACAAAGGATATAGAAGAGCATATCTATGAAGTAACATGTCCTATTTACTGTTTACTTTTTATAGTCTTTTAAATAAGATAAAGAAATTATTAAGTGATCAATAACATAAATGAAAAAAAAATTAATTTTGCATGGTTACTGATTTCACAAACACTGCCTTATTTATCATGTAACAAGCCTGATAGACCAACACAATCTCACACTGAAACATGGACCTGGTCTTATTGTGTATGATTTACTGCAGGGTAATTATATCTTCAGTAGAGGCTTATTTCAAGTCATGGATGGGCTTATTAAAGGACAATGAAAAAGCATGGTATGTTATTTCTTAAATGGCAGTAACCATCATTAGTGCCAAAATTCAGGGGGTGGGCTTATAACAGGACAACTTAATAGATCCAACACATACCACATACATCCTAATCATAGATTACACAGATTCAACAAATTACAACGAAGTTACTGCTGACGTTTTCCACGGTAAAAAGTTTTTCGATCAAATATAACACGTCCACTGCGTGGTATACATTCTTCTTGTCGTTGAATCAAAACAACATACTTGTGTTGACTTGCAGTGATCTGTCAGGTCATAGGAAACATTTATCAGCTAACCAGTAGGTACAATAAAGAAGAGATTATCATTGTTACAATGGCTTAACTCTTATCAATGTATTCTATGATTACACTGTTTTATTTGTTCTGTCAATCTAATGTCTTTGTACTCTCCCAATAAATAAGGGCTATGTTTGGGTCTGGTTTTCTTTCTGTCAGTCTGTATGTTTTACTCCATTGACAAATTTGTACAGGGTTTCCGAGAGCTTATTTGGGCTGATAATATCAAGAGACCCATGCCCACTTGAAATTATTCCAAATTTAGGCCAAATTCCCAAAAAATTGCAGTTTACTCTTGAAAATCTTTCAATTTTCTTTCAAAAATGAATACGGATGTCCCATTTCAAATCAGTGGGAAAAAAAACATGTTTTGACAACTTTTGAAAATTTGATTAAGACCACACTTTTGCTCCTGCTTGTTTCCAAGAGTTGTGCCCCTTTAACAAATCAATATGTTAATTGGCTGGACACGACTCCTCTTACAGTTTTCAATTGAATTTTTAAGTTACCTAAAATGAAGCTGAAAACCTTTTCAGACATGGACATTTGTCCATCCTTGCAATTTGTACCTAAAAAATAGACATTTTAAAATTTTGACAGTCTATAACTCGTGAATAGATTAGAGTGGTAAATTGTGTGGGTATATTAGATTATGCAGTACACTGTATTAAAGTTGGTAAGCTGACAAAGTTGCTGTCATTCTTTGAAAAAGAATGATTTTTTTTTACGATGAAGATGTAACCATTATGTGATTTTTTGTACTAATTTTCATAACTGGTTCATTTATTTTGCTCAATTTAGCTGCACCGATGGTGGAATCATAACGGAACCAAACTGAATGATAGCCCTCATCTCACATTTCACACTTTGCCTATTGGAAAGGATCGAGAGGCATTGTTCCTGAACATCACCAATGTGACAGTAAGTATTTAGGTAAATCATGGAGAGCTGAAAAGTTAAGAGAATTTTTGGGGTAAATATATTTATGTTGATATTAATACAAAAGGTTATTGGTTTGGAAAGATTATGCCAACCATGAATTATTTCCTTCAAAAATGCAACGATGTAGAAGCACGGCCATTTATACACACTATGTATCGTTATTGTTGTTCACTTCTAATGTTAAATAAGACTTTACACACATTTGATCCTCCCAAACAACTTATAAAGAAACATAGATATCCATGATACATACAATCAGAAAATATCAATGAATTATCATTTAACTGTGTTTTTTTTTTCTGAAAACAGAGTGAGGACTTGGGCGAATATACGTGTGTGGCCAATAACAGTTACGGTACAGATAACCAAACAATCACACTTCAGGAATATCAACCAGGTGGGTCACGGAGTTCTGTCAATTATACTGATTACTGTTAAATGCAGGTAAAGTGATATCTTTTGTACTTTCAATGATGCTACTTTCTGTTTCAAAAATTTGAACCCATCAAAGTGTTTTTTGAGACCATAAAGAGTCATCCCATTACATTGCAAGTATTTTTTTACAAAAAAAGGGAAAAAATATTATTATTTCATTTTTGAAACATTTTATTACTTGCATGTGTGATGTTTTCTTTCAGCACCTGGGAAAGTGTTGCCAACATGGCAGATTGCTGTAATAGGAGGTGGAGGATTTTTAGCAATCACTGTGCTTGTGGCCGCAATAGTAATCAGAGTAAAACATAGACATAATCAGATAGACTGGCCACCCTTGGATCCAGAAAATTATGATGGTGAGTTATCAAATATTTATACTTCTAGCTTGAGGGAGATATTATATAATGTTTCCTCCATCTGTAAATCATACATTTATATCTGTAGTGTGAGGGAGATATTATATAATGTTTCCCTCCAGTAATCATACATTTATATCTGTAGTGTGAGGGAGATATTATATAATGTTTCCCTCCAGTAATCATATATTAATAGCTGTAGTGTGAGGGAGATATTATATAATGTTTCCCTCCAGTAATCATACATTTATATCTGTAGTGTGAGGGAGATATTATATAATGTTTCCCTCCAGTAATCATACATTTATATCTGTAGTGTGAGGGAGATATTATATAATGTTTCCCTCCAGTAATCATACATTTATATCTGTAGTGTGAGGGAGATATTATATAATGCTTCCCTCCAGTAATCATACATTTATATCTGTAGTGTGAGGGAGATATTATATAATGTTTCCCTCCAGTAATCATATATTTATATCTGTAGTGTGAGGGAGATATTATATAATGTTTCCCTCCAGTAATCATACATTTATATCTGTAGTGTGAGGGAGATATTATATAATGTTTCCCTCCAGTAATCATATATATATATCTGTAGTGTGAAGGAGATATGATATGTTTCCCTCCAGTAATCATACATTTATATCTGTAGTGTGAAGGAGATATGATATGTTTCCCTCCAGTAATCATTCATTTATATCTGTAGTGTGAGGGAGATATTATATAATGTTTCCCTCCAGTAATCATACATTTATATCTGTAGTGTGAAGGAGATATGATATGTTTCCCTCCAGTAATCATTCATTTATATCTGTAGTGTGAGGGAGATATGATATGTTTCTCTCCAGTAATCATTCATTTATATCTGTAGTGTGAGGGAGATATGATATGTTTCCCTCCAGTAATCATATATATATATATCTGTAGTGTGAGGGAGATATAATATGTTTCCCTCCAGTAATCATATATTTATATCTGTAGTGTGAGGGAGATATGATATGTTTCCCTCCAGTAATCATATATATATATCTGTAGTTTGAGGGAGAAATAGTTCTTGTGAACAGAAAAGCCTAGAGGCATGATATTTGGGTGGTATGTTCTTAGGATGAAGCCCGACAAAGTTTAGAAAAATAAAATTACCTATTCTCTAGCGAAACATTTGCCACATAATCTTGTGAAAAAATAACAAAAATTTGACATGTTATGGTAGACATGTTTTAGACTAAATGTCATTATGTTAATTGTTCTTTTATTCACAGTACCTGGCTATGCATTGGAGTATGATGTTTTCATATCCTACAGCAGTGAAGATGAGGAATGGGTGAAAAATGAGCTCTTCAAACAGCTGCTTAGCATGGGCTACAATGTTAACATAGACTTTAAAGATTTTATACCAGGTAAATTTTCATCTTGTGGTAGTTTTGATTAATCAGGACAGTTGTTACTGGCTCTTCTAGAGGTCTGTCTAATGTTATGAAAATTCTTTAGCATTTATATAATATAAACTTTATTCATTTTATATGTAAGTTGCTCTCAATTCCTTGCTGTGAATTTAGGTCGCCTGAGAAAAGTTTCAGAGTGACCTATTGTGATCCTCTTTTGTCCGACGTCGTACATCGTGCGTTGTAAACTTTAAACATTGTCATCTTCTTCTGGAAAACGGCTGAACAGATTTTTTTATGTTGGAACTGATCAGAAAAACAAAAGGGCTGACTGGTGACTGTCTTGGATTTAACAGTCAAATATCATTATAATTATTTCTTGAAAGAATTTTCATATTTCAAGTAATTAAGTTGGAAAAAGGGGAAAAGATCCAACTTTCAGAGAACAAATTAAGATCTCTCATCATTAAATATAACAAAAAGGAGTTGTAGAGCTGATGTTGTATAATAAACTTCTCCAAACAAGATCTTTAATTTTTGTTCACACAGGGATGGCTGTTGCAGAAAATGTCCTGGATTCCATATATAAAAGCCGAAAGACCATCGTCCTGATGTCACGAAATTTCCTTAAGTCAATGTGGGGACAGTTTGAATTGCAGCAAGCACACAACAAAGCTATTGCACAGGTCAGATTTTAAAGACGTGTAGTATCACAATGTCATATTTATAGTTCTCATGTCAAGGTCAGGAATTAGACAACCCTTTCCATCATTTCCTTGTTTCAGTTCCTTTTCATATTGGGATAAAAACATTAATGCTTTTAACTACTTCAGGGTCCATGATACAAAGCTTATAGGCATTAGGATTATGACAGGTGGTTGAGGGATTCAATTTATTCTTAATGAAAAAGGGAGAGTTTAACATATTAATATCAAGATTAAAGTTAAGATAATTTTGTCTCTTCACTATTTCAGAGAAAAGATGTGCTGATTCTGATCAAATTTGATAAGTGCAAAGTTCCAGCCAAGCTGATGGGTAAAACATTTTTGGACTGGACTGATGTGGATATAAGACCTCACTTTTGGCAGCGACTGCAGGATGCCATCGGAGACCCTGTCAACTATGCAGAAATTAACCAACGTCCTGCTGCTGACCAACCTCCTGTGGCTGCAGACCAACTTCCTGTTGCTGTTGACCAACTTCCTGTTGTTGGAGAACAACTTCCTGTGAGAAATCAGGATAAGAAAAATACTGATGAGGTAAATATGGACAATGAAAATCAGAAAAATTTAAGGAAGAAAGAGGATAAGGTCCACATGAGACCAAAAAAGACAAAGAAAAAACAGAAGATGGAAGATCACGGTCAGATGATTGCAGATGACATGGAAGGGTTAAGGATCAGTCAAGAGGAAAAGATGCAGCTCATTGCTTAAAACCAAGAATAATGTAAAATTATGTATTTATATGGAGCTCTATTTCCATGGTTTTCCAACAAAAAAAAGAATTTTACTTGATTTTATGGATAAGTAATAAATTTACTAATACTTGTTTTAACAGTTTGTGGAGGTATGAATTTGTGGGTTACGAGAACCTGTAAGATATATGAAAACAAATCCCCAATGAAAATTTTACAATTTAGGTTTACGATACCCTATATTTTTACTACAGTAACAGTTATTTTTGTTAATAAAAACCATGTGAAGATTTTTTTTTGCTACAGCATACAATTTTCGCTGGTAATATTGTATTTAGTAAACTTATGAGGTTGAACTTAGTAAACTTATGAGGTTGAATTTAGTAAACTTATGAGGTTGAACTTAGTAAACTTATGAGGTTGAACTTAGTAAACTTATGAGGTTGAACTTAGTAAACTTATGAGGTTGAACTTAGTAAACTTATGAGGTTGAATTTAGTAAACTTATGAGGTTGAATTTAGTAAACTTATGAGGTTGAACTTAGTAAACTTATGAGGTTGAATTTAGTAAACTTATGAGGTTGAACTTAGTAAACTTATGAGGTTGAACTTAGTAAACTTATGAGGTTGAATTTAGTAAACTTATGAGGTTGAATTTAGTAAACTTATGAGGTTGAACTTAGTAAACTTATGAGGTTGAACTTAGTAAACTTATGAGGTTGTATTTAGTAAACTTATGAGGTTGAACTTAGTAAACTTATGAGGTTGAACTTAGTAAACTTATGAGGTTGAATTTGAATCAGTTTGATTGTTGTTTTGTGACATTAACAGATTTCAGTGTCAGTACAGTTTATATTTTTTAACGTTATTTTTGCATTTATACATACAAATTTTGTATCATTGTGTTGTTGTGTTAAATTTGTCGTATCCTTTTTGTTATTTTACTAAACTTAAAACATGCTGTGTTATGGACAATATTAGACTTGTTTCTGTCATAAATGGTGATGTCGGCTATCTGTTGAATGTGATGCAAATTAATTTACTTATAAAAAACGAACATTTCCAATATGAGGAAATAAAATCAACATTTTACAGTGGTTTTACTCTTTTTACACTCTTCATTTTTCAAATTCATGTGTGAAGATAGATATACAGGTTGAATTTATCTGTTACGACTAAAGACCATAAATTTGTACCTCAAATGAAGCTTGATGCATTTATAAACATTTACATTAATTTTACCATAAATCTGATATAGTTTTTGTTTGAGGAGGTAATTCTAATTATCATTCTGGAAAAAATAGAATCATGTAATGATTCATTGTCTATTGTCTGTCCCTTTGTCTGTCTGTCCCTCTGTCCATTCTTTTTTCATGTTACATAAAGGCTGGTTGCCATGGTATCTATGTGGGATTGTGTTTTGGGTCAAAAGGTCAACCATGAAAGTCACTATTGCTAAAAATAGATTTTTGGTTTCCAGATGATAACTTGAGTTAGGGATGACCAATTAGGTTTAAAGTTGATACAATGTTACTTTAGTAGGAGACCTAGTTTGGGATTGTCTTTTGGGTCAAAGGTCAACCATGAAAGTCACTATTGCTAAAAATAGATTTTTGGTTTCCACATGATAACTTGAGTGAGGGATGGTGGATTAGGTGGGAACTTGATAAAGTGTCAGTTTAGTAGGAGTCCTTGTATGGGTAACTTGCTTAAAAATCTTTATTATGCTACAATAGATGTGTGTTGCTTGCAATACGAAATGTAAACTTGTTGATCGTGACAACACCAAAGTCTGACACCATTAGTGTGCCTGCAGGTTTGTTTGTAATAACATGTATGATGGTTTCCTTGTCCAAAATATGTTTTTCAATATTAAGTAGAGTTGAAAACTTTTGATATTCAATATTGAAACATCTATGATCCCTCCAAAGATTCAAAGTTTTTTTGCAAGCTATTTCAGTATAACATCTATCCCACACGAGGATTCCGAGTTTTGATAAAAGTAATTGATTTTGGAATACAGGGGCAGAAAAGATGTTTTAAATGAATAGCTCTAATCAAATTTTTGAAAGTTTAAATAATCAAATTGATAATTCAACATTTATTGGAATATATTCTTACAGATTTGATAGCAATACAGTTAAATCAATCATAAGCTGTTTTCCTGATTAGGGCCTTTAGTAAGATAATCCATCACTGCAGTATTGCGACACTGAAGATGACAGTACCAAAATAGGGCTAGAGCTAAACCCTAAAAAGATACCTTATAAGTTATATTTTTGGAAATGAATCAAAAGTTTTTTTGATCTGACTGGAATAACTTATTATAAAGCAGCATTTATATTACCTAGATAGTGACATAAGAAATAAAACACTCAAGGAATGAGTTCTGAGTGAGTCTTGTGGAATCTTATGTTTTTGTGATTCTCTTTTTTCGGGGGATGGGGTGGGGGGCTGGAGTATGGCTCTAGTTTAATTCAAATACTCAAATCTTGTAAACATCTAAAAACATGTATTTATTTTGAATTTCATATGATATAGGCTTACCATTTTCGTATGAAGGGTTTTTACTTGATATGTATTTTTACTAAATTTGGATTATTAAACATCATATGATATAGGCTTACCATTTTCGTATGAAGGGTTTTTACTTGATATGTATTTTTACTAAATTTGGATTATTAAACATCATATGATATAGGCTTACCATTTTCGTATGAAGGGTTTTTACTTGATATGTATTTTTACTAAATTTGGATTATTAAACATCATATGATATAGGCTTACCATTTTCGTATGAAGGGTTTTTACTTAATATGTATTTTTACTAAATTTGGATTATTAAACATCATATGATATAGGCTTACCATTTTCGTATGAAGGGTTTTTACTTGATATGTATTTTTACTAAATTTGGATTATTAAACATCATATGATATAGGCTTACCATTTTCGTATGAAGGGTTTTTACTTGATATGTAATTTTACTAAATTTGGATTATTAAACATCATATGATATAGGCTTACCATTTTCGTATGAAGGGTTTTTACTTGATATGTATTTTTACTAAATTTGGATTATTAAACATCATATGATATAGGCTTACCATTTTCGTATGAAGGGTTTTTACTTAATATGTATTTTTACTAAATTTGGATTATTAAACATCATATGATATAGGCTTACCATTTTCGTATGAAGGGTTTTTACTTAATATGTATTTTTACTAAATTTGGATTATTAAACATCATATGATATAGGCTTACCATTTTCGTATGAAGGGTTTTTACTTAATATGTATTTTTACTAAATTTGGATTATTAAACATCATATGATATAGGCTTACCATTTTCGTATGAAGGGTTTTTACTTGATATGTATTTTTACTAAATTTGGATTATTAAACATCATATGATATAGGCTTACCGTTTTTGTACGGAGGGTTTTTACTTATTATGTATTTTTATAAAATTTGGATAATCAAACAACTTAAGGAACCGTGTTCAACATAATTTTTGTTAATTTACACAAATTTTTATAATTGTGAAATCCAATTTGTATTGTCTTTATAATTTCTGGACAAATTTTTAATCTTTACCGATGATGTACAATAATTATTTCTATTACATGTAAATCCTGCATAACAATTTAACATATTTTTTTTTTATTTAACAAAACTTTTAAAAATCCAGCTCAGATAATGACTTTATCACCACTTGCTTAACCATTAGAGTGCCATTTGTATGTTGACATTCCAATCAAAATATACATATATATTGTTAATTAAATGTTTAATATCATTCATTATATTTTAAACTCCATGTTTTTTAATTAAATTTTTTTTGGAGTTTTTTTAATCGTATACTAACATATTCAGGCATTACTTTTTAATTTCTTTTTCAGTTGAATGTCAGATTTTTTATCTTTCATTTGATTCGGTAGTGAACAAAAGACAATGATTTCTTGTTAACATATGTGTTGTAGTTAACAGTAAATAATGAGTTGTCTCCCTTTGCTGTGGCAGTAACCAATACATAGTTGTTTTTACACTTTTAGTGTGGTAGAAAATTTATGTAGATATTGAGTTATCTCCCTTTAGTTTGGAAGTGACCATAAAAGAATTAATTGTCTTCCTTTTGGTAGAAATAGATATCTAGTTGTCATTAATTTTTGTGTTGAAATTAAATAATTATGTGTTGTTGTAGTTGCAATTAATAAACAATGATAAGCAACTGAAGACAATAGCGAAATGTCTGGAGATCTAGATAGTCAGTTTACAGCAAATTTCTTTAAAGCTTAGTAGTTTTACTCATAACATCATTAGTGGTATGATAAACTTTCCAGAGCCACTTTGATTGGACATGACATGATAAACACATTTGATGGTCACACTGTAAACTATCTCTTAGCATCACTGAGAAGTACGAAACAGCAGTTGCATTAGTTTATTATTTGGCTCAACTCTATCTTATTGTATTTTTGTATTTAAATGATACTGTTTACTTGTGTTTCATTCATACAATTTTCCTTTTGTAGGTACTTTTTTTTTCAATTTCTGCATCACAACAAATTTGTAAAGATTAACTATCTTGAAAAAGACTATACCTTGATATGATAATCACTGCCTCAACCATCCCTTAAATCATTCAAGGGAAACAATTTGAAATGGGAATCTCTTTCCATCGTAAAACTTTATACAATAAATCACTAATGTTTCCAATGGAATTTAATTTGGCATTAACACCCAGGAGAGTCAATCAATTCAAATTCCTCGTGATCATTTGTACAACAATAACTTTGGTTGGCATACATTTTGATTCAGTTACTGTCATACAGGGTCCATGCCTTTAATAACACATATTTTGCGAATTTGAATTTATTTCTAGAAACAATGTTCACAAAAATTATGCATTCACAATACAATAAAATGTATGTGTGTTAGAGTAAGTTTCACTGTATAAAGTGGATTACTGGGTTGATTTTTACTGTCAACACAATTCATTGCATTTCACACTTTG